CATTAAAAAGAAATTTTAAAAATTTGAAAAAAAAGAATAGGAATGAAAACCAGCAAACAACGGAAGCACCTTTTCTTAAATATTTAATTCTGTATCAGTGCATTTATTTTGTGAGCAAGTTCAAGAGGTAATTATCACCTACATATAAAGCAAGACATGCAAAATTAGGGCACAGTGTTCAAATAAAAACAAAAGCAGAAAAACCTAACCATTTAAATAAACCATATTCCAATCTGTTTATATAATTTCTTTCAGAAGAATGGTACAATTTACTAATTGCTAATTTTGTAATTGCTGCTGTGGGTTGATTTTACCTCCAATATTTACTGAAGTGTATCTCACTTGTGATGAATAGCAGTACAGTTTTCATTTTTACAGAGGGTACAATACTTCAGAAAAAAATAAACCCAATTAAGATTAATTTTAAATGAAAAAAAGATGGCATTGTAAGAACATGAAACGGCAGGGGGGATTTTAATTGGAAAAAAAGCAACTTGTATCTTCCTCATCATTTTGCATTTTTTATTTTATTGAATTATACTGTTACATTTTCATTGAAAATGGTAAAATTATTGAAAATCAACACAAACCATCTTCAAAGATTAAAGAAAATGTACGATGAAGATTAAACATAAAGCCTAGAAAATATTTTTAACACAAATGTTTTTTTTTTATAACTTTTACTTGAATGGGCGCCTGGGTGACTCATTCAGTTAAATGGCCAACTCTTGGCTTTGGCACAGGTCATGATCTCACGGTTTGTGGGTTTGAGCCCCATATCGGGCTCTGCACTGACAGTGCAGAGCCTGATTGGAATTCTCTCTCCATCTCTCTCTGCCCCTACCCCACTTGTGCTCTCTCTCTGCAAAATAAAATAAACTTTAAAAAAAAAAGCATTTATAATTTTTATTCGAAGAATTCTGAAGCTGGGTCAGTTTTATCTTAGATAGCTTTCCACGTAAGAATTAGCGAATATTAAATTGACAATAACCAAAGGAAAGCTTCCCAGGTATTCCATTCCTCAATTTGAATTATGATCAATAACAGAGGCAGAACAAACTATACTGCAAGTTGGTACTATAAATGCTGACTAAAACTTCTACTTCGGATGCATCAGATTTTCCCAGGGATCTAATGCCTTCGAGCTCAGCGTTTGCAGCCAGCTTGCCTGGGTTAGAATCCTATTTTACTTGCCCTTGCTAGAATGGCATTGTATGATGTACTTAATCTTGTTGATCCTTGGTTTCCTTATCTGTAAAATGGGCTTGACATTAGTACCTAACTAATAAGATTTCGAGGATGGTCAATTTAGTAGTGATAAAGTGACTGAGGGTCTGGCTCCAAGACGGGGAAGATCTATTATTTGACATTAGCAATGTTATATTCCTATTAAAAAAATCTGATGCCAGACTCACTTTAGCCCCTCTTCTAGGAATTTCTGGTGGCATGTACATACATTCTTCATGAGATCAAAGGAGAGCTGTAAATATATTAAAACAAAGCCACCTTCAAATCTTTACTTGTGTCTTCCAGTGTCACATATTTACATACTGATGAGAATAATAGTAAGAGCGTGGCTCTAAGCACTCATACACATCATTTTATTTATGAACTCCCATCCTTTCAAGTGGGTAATACCAATAACCTCAATTCACAAAAGATGAAATTCGGCACAGAGGGTGTGGCAGTCACTGCAGATCTGACATTTCTAGGAGAGTAAGACTACCATGGCCCCAATCTGCAGATAGGGAAACTAAGGCTTAGAGAGCTCACTGACTGGGAGCAAGGGTACACGGCCACTAATTGGTGAAGGTGTAATTCAGACTAAGGCAATAGGATTTAAAGTTGACCTTCTGCCAAACAACCCTGGCTTCAGGAGAGAGAACACAGGCACTGATTTTAATGGCATAATCTGTTTCTCCATATTCCCTAGTTCTTTCCCTTCATAAGGGTACACCAATGCAGCTGGTAAAACTGTAGTAAATTTAAAATCACACCTCCTAGGGCGTCTGGATGGCTCAGTCGGTCAAGTGTCTGACTCTTGGTTTCAACCCAGGTCATGATCTCATGGTTTGTGGGTTTGGGCCCCAAGTTGGGCTCTGTGCTGATAGTGTGGAGCCTGCTTGGGTCTCTCCCTCCCTCTCTCTCTGCCCCTCCCCCCCACTCTCTCAAAAAATAAATAAGCTTAAAAAATAAAGTCACACCTCCCCACACACAGGTACATGCACACACACACCTGGCACAAGCCCTACACATACTCTCCCCACTTGATTGTCCTGCCTCTAAATATGTCTTTGAGTTTTCATGTAAGAAAATAACTGAATTGTATCTTTGGAATGAATTTTCCTCACATCAGCAATAATTTTCAAAATGCTTCGCTAATTACAATCTTTTCTAGTAATTTAAAAAAAATATTTAGAATACATTACACCACAAGGATTTTTGAGAAAGTCTCATAACGCTGATGCCAATGAGAAAGTCTATGAAGGACTTGATAAGTTGTTATTAATTTTAAGAAAATAGTTGTCAAAAATGTGGGTGATAGCCACCATCAACTAAATAAAGTCATTAGAAACTAGACACCATAATTAAGTAAATTTTCTGCTACTCCTTCCTTCCCTCTCTCTCCATATCTAAAGTATCTTTCATGGAAACTCCCCTTTTTTTTACGTGTATGTATTTTGAGACTGAGAGCAAGAGCGAGAGCAAGAGAGAGAGAGAGAGAGAGAATGGGTGGGAGAAAGAGAGGGACAGAGAGGGACAGAGAGGGAGAGAGAGAGAGAAAGAGAGAGAGAGAGAGAGAGAGAGAGAGACAGAATCCCAGGCAGGCTCTCAGCTGCCAGTGCAGAGCCCAACGTGGGGCTCAAACTCATGGACCTTGAGATCATGACCTTGAGCCGAAATCAAGAGTCAGAAGCTTAACTGACTGAGTCATCCAGGTGGCCCAGAAAGCACCTTGCCTTAAACTGTAGATTCTACTAAGTCAGTGGTGTCTAAAAATAATTTTTTAAAATGTCCTCTTAAAAGATGGAAAGACTAAATTTTGGCTGAAAAAATATCAGCATAACTATTATGGTGCCCTCCTATTTCCCCCCTTAAAATATTCTTTTTGACCATACCACAATTAATCATGCAGGGGCCACTGATTGTTATAAATTTTATTTGAATAATAGAAAATAATACATACAGATAACCATAGGATACACACACAGAATTTAAAGATAAATCTTATACTTTTCAATATGAAACAAAGTACATATCTCATGGAGATATATTGCTACAAATGCCAAGAAACAATAATCATTTTGAAAATGGAAAGTGTAGGAACATATTATAGGAATTACTAAATAATAAAAAGGTACAACTCCATTACATGTAGCGTAAAATTCAGGTATTGGAGAAAGCGTTTCCCCACTTTTTGACTGGAAATAACAATGGTCATATGAAATCTACTAAGTCATTCAGATTTTTTCTAGATATATACAGTATATACAGACCTTGCAAAGAAAGTTATAAATATTTTTTCTCCTTTGTGTATAATGACTTTAATCTTAAATGTAATCTTTAAACATAAAGTAACACTTCATGATGATACCAGAATTTTGCTAATTTTTATTCTTTTTTGATATCTGAACTGTTGTCAAATTCTGATATATCTGTAAAGAAGAACGAGTTCCTGCAAAATGTGACATTGTAGGAAAGAAGTAAAAAAATGATTTTCCAATGTCTAACACTCAATCTGTCGATTTTCATATATTCTTTACATATTGCTATGAAGTCATGTCTTCACCAATCTTTTGAAAACCACATATTGAAAGACTGAGTCATACATATCAAAGTCAGCAGCACTGCCATGGTTCTATTACAAATTTAACTCAGGAACTAAAAAGCCTGCCAGACTCACTCTGATAGACGGTTGGATTTCATTAAAAAACCATCTCCACCATCCAAAAAAGAGAGGGCCTCTTAATGGAATCAGAAATTGGAAATGAAGAATTGTGTGAATTTTGTTTAATATTTGAGTTGAGATTCAGGTCACTCCTTATTTTCTCCACTGTGTTTTAATAAAACCTGAAAGCTTGTCCATAGATGTGAAGGAAACAATTACTATCTAATATATTTTTTTAATATTTGAGAAATAATAAAATGTGAACATTTCAATTTTAAAATATCAGTGAACAAAAAAAGAAAGCGTTACCCATAATGGAATGCAAACTTAAAGAAGCGGCTGGTTCTTTTATATAGTTAGGTAAATTCCTATTAATATTTTGCACAGACCCAAAATATGAGGGGTAGCAAAAACACTTTCACATGTCCTTCTGTATCTCTTAACAAATAATTTATGGGGCACAGGCAGGTACACTGGGCAATATTTCCACATTTTATAGATGAAAAATTGAGAACTAGAGAGAGCAAGAATCTCACAACTTTGTTAGACGTAAACAAAACAGCACCGTTTCCACCTCTGGTGTAGCATTTTTCAACATTCTTGTGAGTCACATGCACCCTCTTCCAAGCAAGGTAATTTTTAAAATGTATTTTCACTCTTGAGTATTTCAAATGAGCATTTCAGAATAGTACTGATCAAGTCTTCCAACCAATGCTGTTATAACGGGGAAATAACATTTGGATTAAATGAGTTTTTCCACATTAAACAAACAAACAAACAAACAACAAACGTGTGTGGGCATGTGTGTGTATACACATGAGAGCATGTGAGTCTATCGAAAGGCAGTGCTCAAAATCATAGCTTACGAATATCTTTATCAAAAGTCTAATGTAATTAATATGTAAATTCCTTTGGTGTATCAAGTAAATATTAAGGCATTTCAGATTCCCCTAAAAGGATTTACTGGTTTTTTTTTTATTATATTCATATTTTACCTATAGAAAGTTAAAAATACAGAGTTGAAAAAAAAAACATGCATAATCACTGCATTTCATGAAAGCACTTTTTTTGTAACCAATTAACTTTCTAGTAAACAATTAAAAAAAAAAAGTTAGTACCGCCACAGGGCATTTACAATGAAGAACAATACTACAGGTAGGTAACTGGACACAGCGTGGACATGTGAGATGGCTGAAGTAGAACCTCTTGCGTCCATATCTGTCAAAGATGATAAACAGCTCATTAATAAGGATTGTACCAAAATAAATCATCAGGGCAAAAGTAATGCCTCTGCTATCAAAATCAAATCATACCACGAACCCAACCTAAAACCTGAGTTATGATTAATCCTCATTTTATTTGTCAGTGTTGCCTATATTAGTTGCCAAGAATATCTCTGAAAGCACCGACGTATTTAAGTTTTTTAAATAAATGAATCTAGGCTGTGCTCATCTAGTATTATTTAACTTTAATTGAAATTGCAAAAACAACTTAATCACTTTGAAAACAATTATACTCTTTTGAGATAATTCAATGGTTTAATTAAAGAAAGCTTCATTGGATGAGAGTTTGGAAAAATCTGTTGGTTTCTACTTTATTCATTTCTAGATAAATTATTAGGCGTGATATAAAACACCATCTTTAAAAAAAGCAGTCAATAAATGCTCCATTTTCCCAGAGATGGCCTTGTCTACACTAGTCTATGCAAGCTCAGCAGACAGCATATGTCAGATGAAAAGGCTACTCTTGACTCAGCAGCCCTAAAATGTGAAAATAGTGGCTGTTTCTGCAAAAGCATAGAACTTACTCCTTTTAACAGTTACACTCTGGCCATATTATAATGTTAACTCTACATCTTGCAGTAATGTACGAATACGAGCATATCTTTTTTAAAATTTTTTATTGTTTGTTTACTTATTTATTTAGAGAGACACACACAGAGTCAGAGTGGGGGAGGGACAGAGAGAGAGGGAGACCAAGAACCTGAAGCAGCCTATAGATTCCTATGCTGCAGAACTCAGTTCTGAGATAAACACTTTCTGCTTTCATGGGATAGTTTAATTATTTGCTTTAATCTAAGTATGGCATTCTTTATGATTTCACATAAAGATAAAATTCTTCCAAGTTTCCATATCCCTCTTTCTCGTTATTTCCTAATGATGTCAGTCATTTTGTTTTCTAAGATTAAAGAGAGAGGTTTTAATCTTATTTCCAAGACTACAGGCTAGGCCACACCCAAGGGAAGGAAACAGGGTACAAGGTTTTTAACGTCACTAAGAACTACAGATTAGGATATGGAGACAAGATGGCTTCTACCATACTTAAATGGAGGTCCCCAAACTCCAGATTTGGAAATTGAAAGAACAAATAAAATTTCTTTTACCACTGTCACTGATAAAATATGTATGCAAGTCTGTTCCCCTTAACTCTAAAAGTGTAATTTCTATAGTAAAATAGGTTTACTTTGGATTTGGAAAAGAAAAGTTAGTGCGAACCTCCTTCGAAATCATAAACTGAGACTTGTTTTTGAAGTGTCTTTTGGTTCGGTCAGCGGTTTATGACCTTAACAATGTTAGATTTCCCACTTTTCGAAGAATTGATAAGATTCATCTACAATTTCTAGGAGGCAAACTAAGATCTTAAAACTAGTTTGTGCTTCTAACATTGTCCTTGAGAAATGCTTAAGAAATTGTTTTTTATAGGCAATCCAAAAGCAAATTTAGGCATTTCTCATAATGAGGAAAAGATTCAAGCTAAATATTTTTGATGTCTTTTCTTTCTGTTATTACCTTTCTTCATGTTTTGTATCACTCCTCAGAAAGTTTTCTTGCCTTCATCTCTCCTATTCCAAAATCTTGTTAGCATTTAGATGGAGGAGATGGTGGGGGAAAACGGACAGAAGGGCACTGACTGACTCACTCTTGGAGGCTCGTAACACTGGTGTTATCAATAAAGTAAATGTTGACTTTGACCAACTTACTGGTTATTCTTGGGATCCTGATCTGTTCGCTACTGGTTCCATCTCCTCCGTCTGTTGTGGCCTTGACTTCAATAATGTAGTCCTCTTTAATGGGCAACAGAAGTTCTGCTGAAGTCTTATTTGTGTTCAGCACTTGTACACTGTTTTGACTGCTAGTCCTATAGAAAACCTGAAACGCATGAACAAATACACTCATTTCTTACATTGCCTACTCTTCCATTTTTCACAGAACTGATTACCCGGATGTTACTTCATTTACGTTGTCTTTCTATACTCACCAGAATATAAATTAAATTCATAGCTCTTTCCTTGGGTCTTAGACTGGGGGTTAGCACATACTAAAATCATCAAGTCCTCAAAATCAAGGAGGTAAGGAAGACGGAAGTGAACTTCTTCTGTGGAAGAGTTCATCTGGGTTGGGCATTTGTATGGTTGGAGAGATGGGGCAAGCCCCTACTCTATTGATCTTGAAAACCAGACCAACAAATTAGAGCCAACACTTTCAGTTGCTTTTTAAGTAGTATATTGGGGTTCGTCAGAAGTAACAAATTAATTAACATTATGAACAATTTATATTTTATCCCACGTCCCTGAATACCCAGAATTACTTCCCTTTTATTTATATTTAAGAAATCAGATATTTGGGGGGGGGGGGGAAAGATACCCTTTTCATAAGAAGTTGGTATCTCTATGTCAAAATTAGATTACAGCCACCATATTATCATAGTTAGAAAAACCATTCGAGCCTAGCTTCCCTTGGAAAGTTCTGCCAGGAATAGGAAAAGAAAACATTGCAAATATCTTACTTTATATCCCGTTACTTCTGATTCATTTTCCATTGCTTTAACTTGTTCCCAATTAAGTAACACTTTCGTGTCTGTAGCATTCCAAACAACATTTCCTGGTGGCTGACTGGGAGCTTGAAATGCAAAATGAAAAATTAAAACAGATTTGAACATGAGTGATATTTTACACAGAACATATAAATGACACAGGAGGCTTACAGAAGTACAGCAAAGTCTCTTTGGTAATATGTAGCATATAGGTGGAATCAGAAAAAAATAAGAGTAGCTAAATATCCTTTTATTTTATTTATTTATTTATTTATTTATTTATTTATTTATTTATTTATTGTTTTGTTTTTAATGTTTATTTTTGAGAGAGAGAGAGAGAGAGAGGGAGAATGCGCAGGCAAGGGGGAGAGAGAGAGGGAGACACAGAACCCAAAACAGGCTCCAGGGCCCGAGCTGTCAGCACAGAGCCTGATGCAAGGCTCGAACCCACGAACTGTGAGTTCATGACCTGAGCTGAAGTCGGATGCTTAACCGAATGAGCCACTCAGGCGTTCTTATTTTATTTTCTTATTTTTTTTTTAATGTTTATTTATCTTGAGAGAGAGGCAGAGAGAGAGAGTGTGTGTGTGTGTGTGCAGCAGGGGAGGGCAAGAGAGAGTGAAGAGAGAGAATCTCAAGCAGTTTCCACCCTTTCAACACAGAGCCTGACTCAGGACTTGAACCCATGAAACATGAGATCATGACCTGAGCCAAGATCAAGAGTCAGATGCTTAACAGGCTGAGTCACCCAGGCACACCACTAAATGTCCTTTTAAAAACACTCTTCAATTAAATTGTGAGATAATTCATTTCATGACATTCATCATATCTTTTAGAATATATTTCCCTTGTTGCTGTGGGTCTTTTTCTGGAAACATGTTGATGGTGGAGACAAAGAAATTCCTTAACCCACCACGAGAGGGATGCTGCTTGATGCACCAAGAAAGGCAGGCAGTGTGACCATTCTGACATATAGACAGAGGCGAAGAGAAATTGCCAACTGAGTAAAGACACACAAAATGAAGTATGGATGATTTTTAAGCCAGCTTTGTGTGATGACACAGGCAAAATAGGAGGCAATCAAGGATAAGGGCTACTTATATTTATTTCCATGAAGTTAATACCTATTCACGTGAAAAAATGTAGCAGGGAGAATACACGTCACTCTTCGTTTTTCAAGTTTTAAACCAATTTTTGAGAAAAATAAGGCAAGACTCGAAAACATTAGTGAGAATTCCCTTAGATAATGAGTGAAATTCCCTGAGGTTTAACACCTTGGATTCATAGCTTAGTTCCCTCTCATGAACTCCAGTTAGTAAACTATGCCGGGCAAAGGGGTTCAACTGCAACACAGACAGAATATTAAAATTCAGTTTCTCATCAAGCACAAAACAAACACAATTTTATCCATGTGGCAACAGCATCACAGTTGCCCAAAGCAGTGCTGAAATACGCCGTACTTGTGGACTTAGCCACACAATGTGATCTGGCTAACTGAATCTGTAATGGGAAAATTATATAAAATATTGGCTATGCAGAGAAATTTCTAAACATCATTGACTCACGCCATGAGGGAAAGACGGCTGAACCTACAGATGGGAAGAGTTCTCCAGATACATTTACGTGACTACACACGTGATACATTATGTGACTAATGACACCAAACAAGATTGTATTCCCTGCAGATTCTTTTGCTTATTGTCCGCTCTTGAACACTATTCTACACTGCCTTTCCAATTTGTGATCTGGCATTAGTGACGGCTTCAGGTCAGTTCAGAGAGTTCAAGCTGTATTGCTTTGATAACAAAAAATATATATGATGGCAGTTGCTTACGGTTGAAATACTAATGTATTTCTGTTGTCTCAATTCAAATGATATGAATGCACAATTGTTAGGACCTTTTCTCAAAGTCTGATTTGCTGTGTCCTTACGGTCCTATAAAAGGACAGGTTCATTTGATGCAACTCAGATAACACAGGCAGCATAGTGGTTCTACCAAAAGATGTGTGCCCGGAGATTACAGGAAACTTGAGTAATTTGGATTGAATCATCTATTCCAATACTAGTCTCAAAGAAGAAATGACTGCAAGTATAACACTGAGAAATATCTTGTATCAGTGCAAAAATAGATGAGTTGAATGAGTTCAGCCTGAATTGAATACTTCTTAAATACACAGAAAGAAAAAAGAAACAGGAACAGGGGAAAGAAGACAAAATTAAGGTTTGTTCTGGGTCTGATTACCCTTATTCTGAATCACATCAGTTTTTCCTGAGCATCAGATAATCATGTACACTTGCATAACTTTTGCTATTTTTTTTTTTTCCAACGTTTATGTATTTTTGGGACAGAGAGAGACAGAGCATGAACGGGGGAGGGGCAGAGAGAGAGGGAGACACAGAATCGGAAACAGGCTCCAGGCTCTGAGCCATTAGCCCAGAGCCCGATGCGGGGCTCGAACTCAGGTACCGCGAGATCGTGACCTGGCTGAAGTCGGACGCTTAACGGACTGCGCCACCCAGGCGCCCCTACTTTTGCTATTTTTAAAAAGAGGACTTGACTTAAAAAAAAATCTAATTTAGCCTCATCCCAAACACTAATACTCACACAATAATTGGCTTAATATCCTCGTTACATTCTTATGGTACCCTCTAAAGTAAATGAAGCATTTTTAAATGTAAAAAAAAAATATTTGTGAACCACCCTGAAGTCATCTCTCTTATCATCACTGATAAGAACGACATCATGTGGAGGGGCCCCAGGGTGGCTCATGGGAAAAGAGTTTCAGTTTTGCAAGATGAAAGACTTCTAGAATCCATTACACAACCACCAATCTTAATGCTACCGAACTATACTTTTAAAAATGGGTAAGGGGTGCCTGTCTGGCTCAGTCCCTTAGGCGTCTGACTGTTGACCTCAGCTCAGGTTTTGATCTTGGGGTTGTGACTTCAAGCCCTGCATTGGACTCCATGCAGGGCGTGAAGCCTACTTTTAAAAAAAATGGGCAAGATGGAAATTTCATGTTATGTGTATTTTTACCACAATTAAAAATCAAAAGCAACAACTTGTTAAGAAGTATTATGTGGATTCAAACCAGCTCTGATTAATTCCAAAGTCTATGCCTCCCATATTACATTGTGCTGACTACCTGAGACCGTATTTAGCTTCTGAATGACTAATCACAGGTTTGTAAATGATGTAAAAGTGAATATGAAACAAGAATGTCACAAAATATGCTCAGTGCCCACTTTCACAGGAAAACATATCATGCTTTTCCTGATTTCTCAGACAAAAGTGGGGCCTCTTTTCATTTCCCTGATCCACTTTCTTCATGATCCTCATCAAAGGTACATTGTACACTTTTTTTACTAGTAATCTGTAAGATCTTTGCAAGCAGAGACATTGTCTGGTAAGGTCTCTGACACAGACAAGTCGAAACGGTAGATTGTACTCACTGGCCCAATGCCTTGACAAGGGTAGATATCAAATTCGATATTGTATATGACTGATGTTTTCATGTAAAAAGCAAAAACTCAAGGATTAAGGAGACACTTTTACAGTGTTATCAGAAAATAGGTTTGAAACCATTCCCTTTGCATTCCTAAGGGATGATTCATTCAATGAACATTCTGAATGGAGTAAAGATTCAGAGTAAGTATTAGTGAAATAATTCACTGTGACACCAGCAAGACAACATTTGGCTGGTCGCACTTTTCAAATGCAGCATATCAGAATTCAAAATGAATTTTCCAGCTACGTGGTTGAAAGTTCTCCAAGCCATCCTAATAAATGCTATATGTCTATAAAGACAAAACTAGGACAGGAAACATCCATTGATCATCAGCCTTGAGACTTGAAATTGAATACGCCCAGTTGTACCGAGGCTAAGGTGATAAGGAACAGAACCCAAAGAAGAAGAAAACAAGAAAAACATCAACAACACTGGTGTATTAATTGAATACTTAAATGATTTATTCAAGAGACATCTATGTGTCAAGGGTTAAGAAAAAAAAAGGAAGAAGGAGGTGGCAACATCTGGAATAGATTTTGAAAGGCAAATATGATTTTTGCATGTAGAGGTGAGAGAGGGAAAGGTATCCAGCAGAGGAATAAACACCTGCCAAGACACAAAGGCAGGTAATAGTAAGGTTCAGTGGGGAGCTCAGTTGTAACTGGTTACAAGGTAGTGGGGAAGGGCAAGGATAGACCAGATGCAGTTGAAGACGCAAGCAGGAGCCAGATGCTAACGGGTCTAAGAGACCAAAAGAACTAGGAAAGGAGTTTTTCCATAGGCAATTAGGAAGACATTGATTGAATAAAAGTAGGGAAGTGATACTATCAATTTTGTAGTTTCACAGATCAATGTGGGAATAGCGGGGAAGAAGGAGAATCTTGGCAGGCATTCTGTTGGGAGAATATGGTAGCACTTAGTGTAAGAGAGAATGAAAGGTCTGTTCACACGAAGATGATTGTAGTGGAGTTGGAGGGAGGGAACAAATGATGTTTGTGGAGACTCAACAAGTCATGATGGCTGACATCATATGGGTGCTGGCAATAAAAACAAACCTAATTCTGGCTGACAACACAGACCTTGGGGAACAACATCTTATACCTGGAATTCCCTTCGGCCACAAATTTAATAACTTTATTGTGTGTTAGAGATCCTTCTGAGTACAGTAGACAAAGAGATTAATATGTTCTCTGACTTCTACCCACAGGGTCTATCAGTGGTTCCCAAGGATCAGTATTTCTACCATTAGAGATGATTTTAGATGGATGACATTTTTAATTGGAAATATTTAGATATTTTCACGTAAGCCAAAAAAAAAAAAAAAAAAAAAAAAAAAAAAGAACTAACATCCATTTCTTGATTCACAGATATGATTCTCTGGATGAGGCCAACATTGATACATCTGTAATAATCTACACACAATACACAGATCATTAAAACTAGGTTCTAAACAATGATAAAGAACAAAGGTTATTATGAAAACACAAATCACTCCGATGTTTTCAGCTGTACACACATGTGTGTGGTAAGCATCCCAAAATACACAGTCACAATTCAAACTAACTCTGACCTAAGG